TTTTCTTCTTCTTCTTCTCATTCTTTCATTTTTGTTCACTTTTTGAGCCTGCCTTCTGACTGACATTTATAAGGAAGATGGTTAATGAGAAATTGCATGAATTGGGCCTTGAGCAGAACTCTTAAAGCTTCCATTGGTGCATATCTTCACCGCCCTCTAGATTTTAATGTAGTTCGTAATTACACACAGTTATCAGGACCAAAGTAGGGATCAATCATCTGTAATAGCCCAGGAGGGAAAGCTATTATCAGTCTTCCTTATGTTCCATCTTTATTGTCACAAGCGACAATCGGGATCGATGATCATTCCTCTGGCCATAATTGTACAGAACGCGCCCTGCTTTTCCACTTCCATTTTCCAGCTTCATTTTTGGGAAGTGTGAAGATACCACTCACTTTTGGGGGAGAAATGGGATAAGATATGTTATTGAAATTGTAGTACCCTTCAGTTGGCATCTTTATTGGCTACCAAACTAGTGGAGCCCCAACAGCAAGACCTCCAATACTGAGAAGACCTAGAAAACTGTGAAACTGCCTAGAAAATTATAGTCCAACTAGACCTTGGGGTTTTCTGCATAACAACACCCTTAAAGCATTGCTTTTCTGCATTGCAACACCCAAAAGCCAGCCAGCTTTTCAAAGAGCTGCCCACTGCTACTGATAGGATTTAGACCCTGAGCATATGTAAGTGAGTAGGTGCACTGTAGGTAGGAAACTGTAAATAAAGAGCATTAGCCACTGTTGCACAGAGTTGCCAGGGCATCAGCATGCCATTCCCTGAGATTTCAGGGCCAAGATTTGAGACTGGAACAGCTTCATGTGAGGTGTGAGGTCATAAAGGTAAACCAGACAAGGATTGGAATGGGGAAGGTTTTCCAAGGCTTTCTGTTGCTGCTGCCGCCGCCACCAGTGCTGCTGCTACTGGCAGGGCTTGTGCAACAAGAAGGCTCAGGAGCTGCAGTGTTGGTGCTTCATGTCATGCTTTGCTCCTGATAGCTCCATAGTGCTAGGACAACAGAAAACCAGGAGTGAGGGGAGTGGACAAGTGAGATAGCTGATGGGTACATGCCCTTGAGCCTGTTACACTATTTGGAACAACAGAGAGAGAGAGACCTTCACACTGAGTCAGTTATCTCTAGTACCAGCTTGGAATGAGTAGTGATGGGTACCTAGGTGTTAAAGCCACCTCACATGCAAAAATCAAAGTATCTCCTCCTTCAGTGCTGCTTGTACTGCGTGGAGAAGCAAAACAATTTCTGAAACTTCAGACAGTACCCTGAACTATGGCAACCATACTTGAGTATGAAATGTTTATGTTTAGCTATAAATGCCAATCAGGTAGCCAGAAAGTGAATAACCCTCCACTTTTACAATGACAAAAAATTAGAGGGGAAAAGAAAAACTTTTTAATATGTTAATAGCATGTTGTGGGATGAATCTGCTAGGAGTTCAGAGTCCTTGAGTGGATGCACTCAAGCATTTGGGCGTATCTAAAGGGAGTCTGATGTCTGGATATTTATGTTTGAGAGGCTTGCTGCTTTTACATGGAAACAGAACCAACGGCATAGGGCCTGTTTGCTTTGAGAACCAGGAATGCTTGTGGTTCAGCAGTTGCACCAGCTCTTCAGAGGCGATATGGTCACTCTGCACTGCTCAGATTGCCTATTCCGGATCAGTATATGATTGGGGAGGAAGCTTTTTCACATGGCAATATCCGTAGTGTCTTTCTCACTGCTGTAGTCCTCTCCATTTTATTTTCCGCAGGTGACTATGCTCAACTCAGTTTACGAATAGCATACTTGGAAGCTGGTGTGTATGATGTGCCGGTCATTGTGACAGATTCCGGGAACCCTCCTCTGTATAACATGTCCATCATCAAGGTCAAGGTGTGTCCGTGTGATGAGAATGGAGACTGTACCACCATAGGAGCGGTCGCTGCAGCTGGACTCGGAACCGGAGCCATCATTGCCATCTTGATATGCATTATCATTTTACTAAGTAAGTGTAACAATAAGGCTTGTGGTCTGTTTTTTTCAGCCCCATTTGTTCTGTTTACATATATAGAAATCACAACATCCATTGATTTAATAAAATAGGCCTGTAGGTACCTGCAGTGCATGACTTTTGGAACCCTACTGTCCTGGTGGCAGCAAAAAATGCTACATCTCTCCATATAAACAAGGTGTGTGAGGACTTTGCCCCTTATGTTTTAGGTGGGCCATACTCTCAAAGATTCTGAGACATAAGATCTACTTCAACAATACAGTTCACTTGTCTGTGCAAAAGGAGAAAGGATTTAGGGACAGCAGAGTTTCGTTGTGACATCCCTGATGTTCAGAAAACACAAACTTCCCCCTCCAGCCCTTAAAACTGTTCCATCTTTAATAAAGTGGAAGGCGCAGACTATTTTCTTAGTATTTCATCTTAGGATAAGAATCAACTCAATGTAAACATGTAATCATATTCATGTTCAAGAGAATATCAGGAAATAATAAGCTGACCGTTGGAGAAAGTAGGCAGTCGGGACTTTGAGTACGTAACTCTTTTTAAAAATCTAGTTTTGAATCCCTGTATTTCCACGTACAGTGGTGGCGCTATGGGTTAAACCACAGAAGCCTCTGTGCTGCAAGGTCAGAAGACCAGCAGTCGTAAGATCAAATCCATGTGATGGAGTGAGCTCCTATCGCTTGTCCCAGCTCCTGCCAACTTAACAGTTCAAAAGCATGTAAAAATGCGAGTAGATAAATACGTACCACCATGGTGGGAAGGTAACAGCATTCTGTGTCTAGTCACGCTGACCACGTGACCATGGAAGATTGTCTTCAGACAAAAAGTAGCTCTATGAGTTGGAAACGGAGATGAGTCGGACACGACTGGACAAATTGTCAAGGGGAACCTTTACATTTAACTATTTCCTATTACAGGATTGTCAGTTCTATTTGCTGAGAGAATATTTATCTTTAAAATATCCTTATGTTCACGATACAGTGGTGCCTCGCACAACGGGTGC